CACATGCAGCAGCAGCAGCACACATGCAGGCAGCACATAGGCACGCAACAGCACGCCCACACGCAGTAGCAAACACACACGCAGTAGTACACATGCACACACACATGCAGCAGCAGCACACATGTGCGCGTGCATCCACACGCGCAGCAGCACACACGCGCGCGCACACATATCACAGGAGGGGTAAAATCGTCTTTTCAGGTGTCATTTAGGCTTAAAATGGACGAAAGTGTCGTATAGGGAATAAAATTTAAGACTAGTGTCGAATAGGGAAGAAATTTTTTTCCAGTGTCAAATAAGGAACCAGACTTTAAGACAGTGTGAAATAAGGAATTTTCTCTTAAGCCATGGCCAGCATGCAAAGGAGAGATCAACGCGAGTATGCTGATCTTCGTCCCCCTGCCTCTGCACGGCCGCATTGCTCCCGTTCCTGCTGCCCAGTGCCAGCCGAGAGGAACGAAAGGCCATTATAAACGGAGAGCGAAATTGTCTTGTTGCCCTGTCGTGAAGTTGGCCGGCACGCTGCCCATGGTTAGCACAAGGGATCCAATCCAATACAACAGGGAAAGCTTGCAGCAGGTTATGGACAGGACAAATGCCATCTTAAATCTAGTTGAGGACAAGCCTGAGTCCACGCGGAGCCGCTGGCAGCTCCGTGTCGTGTTCAACTGCCTCTTTCTAGCTTTGTGCATGGCAGCTCAGTGCATGCGGCTGCTTGTTATGCATGGCCGTTCAGTCATGCGGCACCGCCCGGGCGCATTGCAACTGCTCAATACAGCTAGCTAGCTAGCTAATTTACGTTGTTGCATATAATCGCTTGCCAAACAGGTCACTGTATTCTGAATACTCCAAAATACACTGGTATGTCAAAACTGCAGTATTGTGTACCTACATGCTAAAATACTGTGGTTTTTACAATACTTCTCTACCAAACAACTGACAAAGTATCGAAAACAAAACTACAACGGACAAACAACTGACCAGTAAACAATAAAATTATATACTGCAGGTAAAAGAGGTATATATTGTATCTCGATTTGTATGTTGTCAACTTGGTAAGCTATCAACAACAAGCCAATTGTTTTTCTCTCGTCCCTGGCGGCTGGAACCCTAGCCGCCGTCAGGAGAGCCCATCTTTCAGTGTCGTCCTCCGGCGGCTCCCCTTCGCCGGCGACCTCGGTCGTCGGTGGCGAGGGGGGTCGCCGGATCCATGCACGTGTATCATCTTTACTCTCTTGTAGTCTAGGTTTTCAGGCTGTTCATTGTCTTGGCTTCGGCGGCGACAGTGACGGCGCTGAATAAAGATTCTTCAGATCCTTTCCTGAGGAGGCCATCTGTCCTATGGTTGGGGATGGATTTGGAAACCAGTCTGTTCAACCAAGGATGGCATGGCGGCGGCGGCATCCTCGTGGTGGACCTGTGTCCCCGGGCTCTGCCGTTGCGATGGCGTTTGCTCCAGCGGCGGCGCGGAGCTTGGGAGGTAGACTAGGAGCGGATGCAGATTGTGGTCTGCATCGACGACATCTGAAAGACGGAACATGTGTTGGGTTTGTGGTTCGTGGATGGCAGGTATGGTTTCCTCCTTCGGCGTCTTAGTCGTGGTGGTGTGCCAGATCTGGAGTTTGATGCCGTGTTCGGGGTGTTGTCCAGGTTTTATTCATTCAACGACGATGGCTTCACCTTTGGTGAGGCACCTTGGAGGTCCGCAAAGCTGATTATTAGCGATGGAGCCGCGTCGAGCTCGAGTGAGGAGGTGATCCGTCATTCTTCTCTTTGGTGGCTGTTGTGGTGGTGCTGGAGGCAGGTGACGGGCATTGGTGTCAAGCTCAGAGATGTTCAGCTATCTTTTTAGTTTTGTCATGTCGGTCCTTACGTGATTTGTACTTTGTTCTTTATGATATAAATGAGACACGTATTACCATGCACTAGTAGAAAACAGGGCTTTGATTTTAGGCTGATCGGAGCAATAGTCCCGGTCACGTTACGAACCGGGACTAATGTGGGCATTAGTCCCGGTTCGAGCGGCTAGGACGCCGGTCGGGGCTCGACAGGCATCAGTCCCGGTCAGAATCGGACCTTTAGGTCCGGTTCCAGACACCAACCGGGACTAAAAGGGTTGCGGCAGGCGCGACATCCTTTAGTCTCGATTGGTGTCTGGAACCGGGACTAAAGGTCTGTCTTAAGTCCCGATTTTAGACCCCAACCGGGACTAAAAAGTTGCATATATATATATATATATATATATATATATATATATATATCACCCCTGCCCACCCTTGATAACCCACAAGTATAGGGGATCGCAACAGTTTTTGAGGATAGAGTATTCAACTCAAATTTATTAATTTGACACAAGGGGAGCCAAAAAATATTTATGAGTATTAGCAGCTGAGTTATCAATTCAACCACACCTGGAAAGACTTAATATCTGCATCAAAGTATTTAATAGCAAAATAGTATGATAGTAACGGTAACAATGGCAAAAGTAACAGTAGCAGTTTTATAGTGATTGTAACAGCAACAATAACGAAAGTAACCAAGCAATGATCAATATGAAACGAACTCGTATGCAATGGGTCGGTGATGATATGTGTCGGATGATATTCATCATGTAGCAGTTATAATTTAGGGTGACACAGAACTAGCTCCAATTCATTAATATAATGTAGGCATGTATTCCGTATATAGTCACACACTACTAGGGAAAAGCCTAGCACTAGCGCGCGTATTAGGTGTCCCGCGCTACTGATACGGCGCTACAGCTAACATGTATAAGTAACGCGTGTCTATCCACGCTACTGCTATACATGGCTAGCAGCAGCGAGCTTTAGCGCAACGAGCTACTGCTAATATCTGCAGCGTTTTTATCTAGGACGCGATACTGGTAAGAGCGCGCTGCTGCTAACTTTACTCCCCTCGCTAGTTTTATTAGTTTTTGTTTTTTCTGCATATTTGTTTTGTATTTTAACAGGCTTTATATAGTAATCTTTAGCATATCGTACGCATACAAATGTAATCATAGCATCAAATCATGTCATCATCATAATCATCATCCAACACAAAGTGGTCTCTCGTCATCATCTCGAAAATAGCGATACAAGTCTCGATTACTTGCAACTAAATCGTCATCCATCTAAACAATGATATACGCGAGAAGAGCTATCACTATGAATGAGAGCGGAACTATGCAGTACATGAGCTCGTATCCCTCTCTCGCACTAGCGTGAACATAAACTAACTACTGACTATCGCTCGGAAACCAGAAACTGGTACACCTGGGCCTGACACTCCGCCACTTGTCGTATACTCCTGGCGTAGCACTTCTTCGACATTGATGATCTATGCATCTGCATCGTTACATGAGTCGATGATATGCAACATATATAGTTGAGCAACAGAAAGAGACATACTTAGCAAAAATAAAAGCAACATACCATAAGCATAAATAACAAAGTTCATTGTACCCAAAATGCCCTAACTAGAGTGAACTTCGCTAGTCGAGGAGGACGGTTTAATTACATCAAAAATAAAGTTTGGTCGTGCGTAACTCAAAGTTTCGTCATACATGAAGTATGGACTAAACGGACACATTGTTATATATCGACGATCACTTAAACATGTCGTGCCATCCATCCAAGTCAGGGAGATAGTCCCCGAGCTTATTGAAAGGCTTCGGGTCGAGATGCTGAGCGGCTACGCGTGTTCGGACGTCTTCCCGCGAAATTTGCCCTTCCTCGTAGAACATCCCTGTTTTTTCGAGGACCTCCTTCATGATGATTTGGACAAGTTCATGTTGGATGTGATAGAACTCAGCTCGAAGTCGATGATCCTCGATATTGTTGGGGAACATAGTAATGCTTCAAAAAAAAGTCCTACGTGTCACCAAGATCAATCTAGGAGATGCTAGCAATGAGAGAGAGGGAGTGCATCTTCATACCC